TACTCCTCTACACTCACAACAAGGGAAGGAAACATAAAAAAGGCGCGCTAAGAAGGAAGGGAATCCAATTCATCCTCGTCACCAGTCCCTCCGCAGAATGTAACCCATACAGACCGACGATGAATTTAACTTTCACAATTTGTATATATTTTCAGAGTTTAACCCTGCTACGATTCCCGGAAACCAAGATTTGTTACCTGCTTCCTCTCGTTAAACAGCAGTCGCGGCCAAAGAAGCTAGTGAGAGATCTAAAGAGGGCAAAGAAGGTCAGATTACTTTTTGGTAACGTGAAAATTTTTCTTTCTACGCACAAGTAGGATGAAAGAAAGGCTTATTCCATTCCTTGTTTTGAACTACGTCGTTTTTTCATCGAGCGAAAAAAAGTATTATGATGTTATTACGAAGCAACGGAGGATCCAGCGCAGTCCATAATTTATCTCCAGTTTCGCACGCATTCGTTTTTCTTCTATTCTACCATCAGACGATTATTACAGAGACCAGCCGGAAAGACAGCACGTGGATTCTTGACGGGGAGGTAACTGATCGCTCAGCTCTCGGTGAAGAGGCAGAGAGTTTTTGCGCTAAGTATAAGATGTACAAGGTGAAAGAAATGCAGGAATCCATGAAGGTGACCGAAATAAGAACGAAGGGTAAGAAAATCGTTGTATGGGGTCGTTTGATAACCAAGCAAAACAATGAGACTGAAAGTGAGGATGCCCCCACGTTCTAGATGGAAGTAAGAAACGGTTGCGTCCTTTTCAACGTGCCCCTCTCGTTCAGCCCCTAGCACTTTTTCGCTCCCGTAAATTGCAGCGTTCCCTTATCCATCTCGTCTATAATCTAAACTTAACATTAGCCTCATCCGTCCAATCTGGCTTTACTTTGTACCAACCGTTAAGTACTGATCCGCGACATGTCCGCGTGGGAAACAAATTTTTCATAAAATTTATTAATATCTAACAGAGATTTGGAACCATTTTTACTTCAAACCCAAAAGGATAAAAATTAATGAGATATCTCTTTATCAGTTCTTCTAATCATCAAATAGACTCCAAGCCGTAAATCTTCCATTCACAACAAATACAATATATCAAATACATATTATTGTGCAAACAGGTAAAAGATGGACAACCGAAGAGGAATTCTTAACCTTATTTGCCGTTCGCGTAAGCTCTTTAATGATCTCTTTCACGAAATACTTAAATTTTACAGAACGAGGACGTCGAATTCGACGACGAAGTGAACCTTTAAACGGCATAAAGTTATGTCCTGGGGCCAGGGATCTCTACACAATGTCCAAAATATGTTCGGAACCTACGCCGAAGTGTTCACGAAAGTATAGTTGTTTCCGTTATGTCAAATGCGATGATGACACCGATCGTGGTTGCAAGAACGTGCACCATTCTAGTTTTTTCCTATCATGCTGCGCATATACTTGTAATGACAACGGCGGATCAGGAAGCGAAGTATTGGATGACGAGGCTACAGATACCTCAGGGAACGGACCCTGGGGGGAGGTAGACGACGAAGAAGCTGAACCTGGGAACCCTGACGGGCGGTCAAGCGGATCAGGCTCGTTTGCATATTTGCGAAGGTTGTGATCAGTGTGTTTTGAAACCAAAGTTCATTACATGTGTAACTTTTAGTCAAGCCTAAGTTTCGTAATGAATAAATGACATGCTAAGGAATAGATGTCTATCCTGTTAACCCTTTAGGAGTGACTAGCATCTAATTTCTCCTTACAATATCACCCCTGAATCAAACATGAAAGTCAGGAGAATAGAGGAGATGATCACCAACTAAACAAACCCTCGATTGTTAGAATTATCTTTGTCAGCAACTTAGTCAATGTGCAGAGAACAGTTTGGAGAACATGAATACTGATGTTGTAAAGGGTTGATCATGCGAGACTCCTTCCAACGCCAAAAGTATCAAATATGCGCCTTCCTTTCAAGCAGTTCCCTCTTCCTCCGAATTGCTGCGTTGATGACGAGACAAGGACCCTTCTACCCAAACAACGTGAGAATCAAAACATGTAACCATGCTTGCGAACCAAACGCATCGCCATTTGATCTTCGCTTTCAATGTCTTCATTGTACGTTCGAAATGACCGTGCACTTTTAAAAGAGAATTAACGAGAAGCCCTTTGGAGAATTATTGAATCAGATTTGAAATAAGCAGCCAGGGATCGCTTTGGTGAATCTGAAGATGCACAACGAATTCTCGAGACCCTCGGACAGAATTAATTTATCAAAAAATCACTGAATTAAGGCATCAATTAAGCAAACTACAAAATTAAGGCCTCGAACAAATTTATTAAACCCGGCAAATGACATAATAAAGTAATACAAATGTTGGGATTCCCAGAAATACACGCCATTATTAGTCTACCACGATAAAAATCAAAGCATAATCAATTATCTGATTTGATCGCCCAATAGCGCGTCTGCGCGTTATTTCTTTAACTGGTAAATTACATTTTCAAATTATCTAAACCCAAAGGCCAGTGATTTTAACTATGCAACGGAATGAAACAATTAAAACACTTTAAAAAAGGAAAAAACTCCTGAGCGAAACTGTTACGCATTTAACCCTTTCACTCCAGTGATCTCCATAATAATTCTCCTAACCGTCTGCAACGAAGAGAATATCAATTGTCCTAGCTGCCATACAATTCCTACAACGTTAGTTTGGAGAATTTTATATTGGATCAACTAATCGTCCCCTAATTGATATTTTTCTATAATATCGTCACGTGTCCGCTTGATGTTATGCTGTATTGAAATTGTGAGGAGAAGTTGTCTTGGTCACTAAAGGAAGTTACGAAACTTTTCTGTTTACTTAACGAAATTGTAGTTGTTATATAATTACCATTAAACACATCTGGCTTAACATACAAAGGCCTCTGAAAGCTTTCTCAATTGTATTTGCAAAACAAGTTGTCAACACTAAGCAAAAAAAAAAAACTTGCAAGAGTAATTTAAATGCAGTAAGGAAAAGTCAATAATTATTTGTGGCGTAAGGAAAAAGGCGCAAAAGTTTTGATTCCTAAAAAAATTTGCAAGAATTCACACACACCTATGCCGAGTCATAAGCCATAGATGAAGTGCATGTTTAATCCACAACTCTGCACTAAACGACTTCAAGGGCGCGCACACATTAGATGATGTAGCCACGTCGTGCGCAAAGAAAACATTTACCTTCTAATTATTTTTCATTTTTCTTTGGGACAAAATTCACGTCTTTTTGCCAATTTCTTCACACTACTTGGAATATTTACACATTACAGATAACTTATTTCTTTACAATTTCATTTTTTTAAAATATCGAAATCTACGGAGAGAGAATCAGCTTATTTACCGCTATTAGCAGTATCTAACCATATAACCTGGACTGCGAAACACCTGATATAGATAAATCCAGCTTTAATTGCTATGAAAACGGATCAAATTGATTTGGAGTTAACCAAGGATCTTAGTCAATCGGGTTTCGGTAAACAGGGGGAACTGGACACGACTGTTCGTACGGCGAATATGTCAATCAAATGCAAAGAAAGTGAAGTGGAATTGCCGCTGTTCCCAAGTTAAACTCGTCAAGTCAAAGTTCGTGAACTGCAATCCGCAAGAATCTTCTACATTCTTGTCCATCCGTTATCTTTTTTGGTTAATTTTAGACCTCTGATGTTTTCCTACCATGAAAAACTCTTATTTATAAGCTTTATGTCCATTAAGGCAATATTTTTCTCAGACTCCTAAGAAAAACTGAGTCATGAATGATATATGAGCAATTTGAAAATGAATCCGACACGAGCGTGTCCAAAGATGATGATTCCGATTGGATCAAAGTTTTAACCAATCGTGGTTGCGTGTGTTTGTTCGCCTCAGTAAATAGTGAACCATACGAAATCTCTTGTATAGTTGCCGTTTACGGTTAACAACTAATAAAAATCTTCCAAAAGAAGACTTCAAAAGTGAAAACGAACACTCTCAAGTTCGAGCAAGGCATTGATATACTCAACCGAAGCCACTATAATTCACGATTGTGATTAAGTGGAATAAAATTTACCGTTTAAATTAATATATTAACTGATTCAAAACTAACATGCGGCTGGACCACGTAATATAAAAATCTTTTGGAGTACCCACAGAGAGAAATATTACCGAACTAATACCACTGCTTGGAATACATCGTAGTAATTTGAAGTAACGGAACAAAACACAAAAGTCAAATATTTAACGGAAAAAAACAGCAGTAAGCATTTTGTAACAATGAGCAACATACGAAAGCGCATTTTCAACTCAATAACAACGGCTTCTGTAAAACTAAAAACTACTTCGACTTCTCTCTAAAATTTTCCAAGAAGCTATGTAAAGGAATCACGTTTGATAATTCAGCAAAAGCTGACCGTTTGAAGTCAAATAATTCAGATCAATTTGTTTAGAACATCATTTGAAAATGTTCCTATCGCTTAACCCCTTACGCCCTAAGATCAGTATCTACATTCTCCCTACTCTTCTCAAGCCATTTCCTTTAGAACTGACAACGAGAATTCGTTTATCAATCAAAGCTTCTTAGGTTTGCGATCATTTCCTTTATTCTCATGATCTCAAAGCATGATTCAGCAGTATCATTGTAAGGAGAAATAAGATGCTGAACGCTCCTTGGGACTAAAGGGTTAAGACGTATTAGCACTAACATTCAGAGTAGAAAGAAAAATACAAAAACAAGAAGAAACGGGTTCTGACTTTTCCACGATTGGATTAGAACCCTCCAGGAAATGCGAAAATACACAAGTTATGTTGTTGAGCCAGTGTCTCGTCTCCTACAGATGAACAGCAGAAACGAGCACCGATCTTAGTGCCCAGATCTCTTTGACTGTGCACTTTCGTTTCAACGAAAAAAAAATCCTGCTCTTATCTCAGAAAACGGTATCACATTTTCACGTTGACGCGTCTCACCAACTGAACTCTGAAGCTTGAGCGTTTAGAAGAGCAGTTTAGAAGGACTGAAAATGAAGGAGGTTTGAGTCAGTATGACAACTGTATTCAGCGGTCTGGGGCAATTCTCAATGGAGTGTAGAAATTAATCAAGAATTGCTCTGGATTTGCTCTACTTTGCTCTATAATTTGTCCAAAAAACTCGCGTTGAACTAAAACCATGCGCGTCTCAGTCAATCGCGTTTTCCCGCGCTTCAAACAATTTGCATGTTTCCCATTGGCTACTTGACTCATTTGATAATTCCCTTTTTTCTAACTGGCTGTTACGTTTACTTGACGACAGTCAATCTCTAAAACTTACAGCGGTTTACGCTTCAACTCATAAAACGGTAACCACGTGTCTTCTCCTCTCCTAACTTAATTAAACTACATCGATAACACGACCAGCGCACATGCGGTGAAAATAAATTAACTCATTCTCTGGAGGGCGTTACCTTGATTTTAACACCAATTTACAGGGAAAAGTATCGCGGCTAAAAGGGAGATTTTAGAACCACAACTAAGGAGTTACACGAATAAAAGAGGGATTAAATGTACGTTAAAAACCCAAAACAAGTAATTTAGCTACGTACAGTCTTACATACCGCGTTAGTGATTCGGTGGAAATTAAAAATTTTATTCCATTTTGGACATCTCAAACTTGGTTGTCATTAGTTCCTAACAAGATAAAATAAAATGTTTTTAATTCGATGGCTACAAAGATTCTTTAAATGCTTTTTGGGTAATGAGAAGTATATTATTTGTCCCACGCTCCTGACAAGACGAAAACAACTTTTTTTGGTTTCACTGCCGGGCTTAAAATATACCATTTTTAGAGGCTTTCAACATTGCTGATGTGTTGCAATCGCTTAGTTCACTGTAGAGTCTTTATGATTCAATGGTTAAGCGTTGGAGCGCGGAATTCGAGGGTCTGAGGTTCGATCCCTCATGGGGACTTAGAACTTGTTTGTGTCTCACGCTCGTGACAGGAAGGGAAAAAATATTCCCTCTTGTAAAATTTGAAGCAGTTTGCGATTCTGTTGGCAGAACAACACAATGGAAATGTGACTCACCTCATCTGAGTCCAACACACTTGGTAAGACTCTAAAAAACGAAAAGTTACACAAACCATGTAAAGGTTGAAGGTTTTAATAAAATAAAGAAGATACAATACTATGAAACAGCCCGTGCCTATCACAGTTTCCGTAGCACTGAGCGACAAGGAGTATTCCTACCCCTCCTGGATGAGATCCCAGTCCATTGCAAGTCCCCCCCCCCTCCTCTCACCTGTGCCCTCCAACATTTCACGGACAGTTTGCCTACGCCCATTTATCCTACTAAGGGAGGGGAGGGGGGGAGGAAAATGAGTGACACACTTTGGGAGTTAAGTGTTTCTCCAAAGAACACAACAGAATGACCTGGCCGAGACTAGAACCCACTCCTTTCGATCCAGAGTCTGCCGCCGCTCCTTCCCCAGTCTCCTTGGTAACACCAGGGTCAAGTACCAAAAACACAATCCTGTAAAATATTCATCTAATTTTCGGTGAATATTGGCAAAATAGTCTATGATAACTTACGCATCGGCTGCAGAGCTGGGGATGTTTTCTTCAACCCATTTCAGATCATCCTCCTGAACGCAAAGAAACAACTGGTTACGCGCTGCTCAGACAGTCACTGTCACTGAATCAATTTTGATTCAGACACTATACAACGTTTTCATGAACTTACTGGTTTGTGTTTTCTTTTCATGTCGCCATTGATGATAACTTCTGGTGTGTTCTTGACATTCCTCATCTTCATGCCATCTGCGAAAAATGAAAAAAAACCCGCAATTTAGAGGAAGGACTCTTGCCTGCTGAAAAATGCCACACTAACCTAGCAAGCTACACAGTGGACCTAAAAGAAAATAACCAAAATACTTAATCATCCATAAGGTGACAAGATACTAGTTGACCTCGTCGCCTGAAGAGGACTCGCAGTATGCAGTCCGAAAATTGTGAGACAAACGATGATACTTTATATCTAGTAAAATAACTAGCTGAACAAGTTCCGCGTAGTTTTGGTTGCAAATGAAGCTTCTTCTACCCCATGGAGCGCAGCAGAGCAGAATTATCCCGATGACTCCTTAGAGTGACTAATTTCTTATTTCTCTTTACAATATCACCCCTTAATCAACCATTAAGGTCATGAGAATACAAGAAATGATCACAAACTGAAAGAAGCCGTTGATTGTTAAAGAGAGTCTCCTTTCCAGCACCTTAGGAGATGAATGGAGAACAGTGTAAAGAATATGCATACAGATGTTAGTGTGTAAAGGGTTACAGCCGTAAAGAAGTGTTTTCCGACTCTCACCGAAAGCATCTGACAGGGTCATGTTCTCGTCTTCATCTTCTTCGTCACCAAAGTCAACAATTGGGGTGAAGGCGTACCTGTCAGAGAAAAGATTGCAACAGGTGAGAATATGCGACGATCGGAAATCTTCGGAACATCCTCGAAAATCTTCGGAACATCCTCGGAATTCTTCGGAGGTCTTTCAAATTTTCGTTAGTGACGTTTGGAATCTCTCAAAAGGAAACCAAGCACTTTTTGATTGAGGACCCAGTATATGCAGAGGCGTAGTAATCAAGACGGTCAACCAGAAGAAAGGAAAATGTACGGGGAGACAATGAGAACTTAAAGAGGAAACAAGCATACAGCTTGAAGCGCGGGAACGCGCGAGTGACGAAGTCACAATTTATTTTTAAGTTCGCATCTGGTTGGTTTAAAAAGTGGCACGAGTTTTCTGGACGAATCATGTCGAACGGTTATAAGGAGCCAATGAGAAGTCACCTTGAAAACAAGTGCACCGATCCGAGCGCGCGAAAACGCGAGTAATCAATTCCCCAATTGATGAAATTTTACATCTGATTGGTTGCAAGGGTGACGTCAATTTTTTGAGCAATAAGAGAACGAAGTTAAGCAGAACCAAACAGACTCATGTCACTCTCAACGCCCGATTGAAAATTGCTTGATTAGCAGATGAACGAAACCTGTTTACCTTTGATTATTTGCTGTGGGTCTCCACAAAACCATAATGACAAGCAGCACGATTGAGAACAGGAAATGCCAAAAAGCTTCATCAAGCCACAACTCGGACCAGTCCTACAAGAGAATAACGTAAACTGGCCTCCGTAAAGAATTTCTAAAGCTGTCACTTCGAGCGTTGGCCCTTCGTTAGCCCTACAAGAACTTAGCAGAAGGTCAGTGTTGTGACAGCGTTGGCCCTTCGTTGGCCCTACAAGAACTTAGCGGAAGGTCAGTGTTGTGACATCACGATTTCAACTCCTTACCGTGATACAACCACCCTTGGAAAATCTGTGAGTCTTGATGGACCAAATCATGTAGGCCACAGATGCTAGAATATGAAGAACAACAAACGAAATATAGTATCATTGTCATAATTTGTGTATGCGAAAAGGAACGAGGCAGTTGAACTGAGGGGGAAGATGTTATTTGAAAGAGGGACATAATGAGGGAAAGACAGTGAGTGAAGGAAGGAGGCTGTAAGGGTTAGAGGGTAGGGGTACAGAAAGTGTGAAGGGAAGAAGAAGGAGGAAGACGCCGGGTAGAGGAGCAGGCGGTAGGGAGAAAAGAAGGCAAGAGGGCAAGGAGGCAGGGAAGGTAGAAGAGAGGAGGAGGAAAAGGGAGGGAAATAGGAGAGCGACAAAGATGTGACGGGGGCCGGAAGGGGAAGAAATGAGTGAAGGATGTACAGGTCATGGACGGGGAGAGAGTGGAGGAGCATGGAGACAAGAGGAATGTCATCAAGAATTCGCCCGCAAAAACTAAAGAAATGAGCTCACCCAAAACTGCAAAGATAAGAGTGTTTGTGAAGTGGCGGTACAGGGAGAGTTTCACCAGGTTGCGTCTGATACGAAGAGTCCTTGTGGTCTGAACCAAGGACATAAATATCCACCAGCAGATGGAGGCATCCAGAACAGCCAGCGGGATACTGGCAATCAACTGCTGACGACCAGGATCAGATTTTGGCTGCAAAAAAAGTTACCCAAGTGCCCGTAAATACAAAAGCAATTTTCAAATTTGCAAATCTGACGAAAGTGTCCGAAAACAAGACGAATTGCAAGGAAATGTCCGAAAGCACACATTGTCTTAAAAAATCTGTAAAGGAACCACCCGAAAAGTGTCCGAAAACAAGACGAACTGTACAGAACTGTCCGAGAGTACACACTGTCTTCAAAAATCTGTAAAGGAACCACCCGAAATCTAACAAAACCGTTTCAAATTAGACGCTCATTCGTATGAAGTTCTGAGGTCTCTTAGAGAAAATAAGCGGTGATTGCCAGACTTACACGAAGTGCCCTAAAGCATCCCTCGATAGTAGCCAGGATGAAGTACAAAGCTCCAACTCCTAACACTCGATGGAGGGTTGATCCCAGTCTGGGTCTGATACAGGAAAAAGATTTTATTTTATAATTCGAAATTAAAGGTACTTCAATAAATAACGTAGTAAAATAACATAAGTTTACGAATCAAAAGCCATCCCGTCAGGGGTTCAGTAAAATGAAGCGATCAGAGACATTTCTCTACCCTACCCTCCAGCCCAGCCCACTCCCCCCTTCAGTGTTTTCTTCAGTTACCTCAACATTTCGTTGATACCCATTTATACTCCTGGGTGGACAAAGGCAGAATTAAGTGTCTTGTCTAAGAACAAAACTCTGACAAGGCCAGAAGAACAAACACACGAACTTACTTGACGATACCGAATCCCATACTGACAATGATGACCAAGATTCGAGCCAACGTTCTCTTGACACATGACACAAGCTCAGCAAAAACTGTCAATCCTGGGTCTAAAAAGAAGACAGGTGACCAACAAATAATCAGGAAAATTAGATAAATTGATGCAAATCACTTGCAGAGTAAGTATCCAAGAGATACCTTAATGAGAAGGCAATAACAAAGAAGAGCATATTTTCCACAAATACACATTAGAGGATTCACATTTTTTAACATTAATTGAGTGAAAAGTAAGAGCACTTACTTGTCACCCCGGTAATGTTAATGTTATTGTACTCTGAGAAGAACACAGCCTTTTCCAGCATACCTACAAAAAGAATAATCATGAAAAAATGAAGACTGCAATGCAATAGTATTAAACCCAAGAGTTCACGGTTCTTTTTTTTTTAAAATGCCTACACTGCAGAATAATTCTTGGGTCGTATGTTCATGTAAACAGTGATCGCTCTGAACTGAAACATCACCCGTGCGTGGCACGTACAAATCCCACGCAATGCACTGTCTGTATAAAATACAATGAAGTTTGTTTATTTGGTTTCTTTGAGTCAAAATAGTTGATTTCACTGCTGCCATTGTATATAAGATAATTGTGTCGTGTTTATTCAGATTTCAATTGAGAGAATCAGATGATATTGCAGCCTTTAAAAGGAATGTTTTAATTTTGATTTAGGATAATTAAAACTCCTATTTTTATGTTTGTAAATGCTTTCCTTACACTTTAATTAACGGGACATCCCTAGCATGATGCGTCAGCGATTTTGGTTGTCTCCTCCACAACGTTTCTTTATTGTAGTGATAAATTTCAATTAATTTATTGTCTATTTGTAATCTAGTGGAGTGAATCTGTCATAAATAAATATATAGGAACACAAGATAGTTTAGAGAAAGATGTTTTTTTTTCGTCTTGTCACGAG